AGAAGAATCATTTCTAATAACTCTAAAACACAGAACTTTAGATCTCTGGAAAGAGATAACCATGAGGAAGTCTTAAACTACATTCATGAGTATTATCGTTAATAAAAATACCTACATTGTTATTTAGAAGCAACTCACTGAAAGAAGCAACAAGCATGGAGAGTCAGCCCAGTTTGGAGGGCATCTTGAGAACAGAACTGTGTCTTTTTCCTTCTTGTGTTCCTGCTATTGACTGCAATGTTTAATAAATGTTTGGTACATGAAAAATAAAGTTGACAGATAATTTTTATAGAAGAAATTCAGCTAATTTTGCAGTCTCTTATTAAATAATGAGTCTAGCTAAGGATCATTAGTGAATGCTAAATTCATCAGGCAAAAGTTGATGAGGACTTCATAATGGATTAATCACTGATACTACTTGAATCCCCTAATCCATCTTTTTTTTTCCTGAAACAGGGTCTCACTCTGTGACCCAAGCTAGAGTACAGTGGCATGATTACAGCTCACTGTAGCCTTGGCCTCGCGGTTTCAAGGGATCCATCCTCCCACCTCAGCCTCCTGAGTAGCTGGGACCAGAGACATGTGCCATCAAGCCTGGCTAATTTATTTGTATTTTTTTTTGTAGAGATGGGGTCTCGCTATGTTGCCCAGACTAGTCTCAAACTCCTGGGCTCAAGCAATCTGCCTGTCTCAGCTTCCCAAAGTGCTGAGATTACAGGGGTGAGCCACTGCACCCAGGCTTGAATCAACTTTTCATCACTAATGTGGGATAAGGAAACAGATGTAGTTCCTCCTTCTGGGATGCAATAGGAAGTACACAATATCAGTGAAGTGTTCTTTCCAAAAAGATTGAATCTATTCTGATCTGAATCTAACTACCAGTTTGTAGAAAACATGGAGACACTAGGAAGCAAGTAAAATAACATCATGACGATGTGCTTAGCCAAAACCAAAATGAGAGATAGTCTAGGACAAATGTCCTGATGTCTTCACCAAATAAGTGGCATTTAAAAACCAAAGGAGCAATGGCGCTGTTAGAAACTTAGAAAACACAGGCCAGGCGCAGTGGCTCACGCCTGTAATCACAGCACTTTGAGAGACCGAAGAAAGCATATCACCTCAGCTCAGGAGTTTGAGACCAGCCTGACCAACATGGAAAAACCCTGTCTACTAAAAATACAAAATTAGCTGGGTGTGGTGGCACATGCCTGTAATCCCAGCTACTCAGGAGGCTGAGGCAGGAGAATCACTTGAACCTGGGGGGCGGAGGTTGCAGTGAGCTGAGATCACACCATTGCACTCCAGCCTGGGCAACAAGAGCAAAACTCCGCCTCAAAAAAAAAAAAAAAAGAAAAGAAAAAATAAAGAAATTTAGAGAACACATCAACTAAATGCAATGTGTAGACTTTGTTTCAATACTGTTCGAACAAACTAAAATGTAATTTTGGGGGTCAGGCACAGTGACTCACACCTGTAACCACTCAGGGAAGCCGAGGTGGGCGGATCACCTGAGGTCAGGAGTTCAAGACCAGTCTGGCCAACATGGTGAAACCCTGTCTCTAGTAAAAAATACAAAAATTAGACTGGGCATGGTGGCTCATGCCTGTAATCTCAGCACTTTGGGAGGCTGAGGCAGGCGGATCACTTGAGGTCAGGAGTTCAAGACCAGCCTGGCCAACTGATGAAACCCTGTCTTAAAAAAAAAAATACAAAAATTAGCCAGGTGTGGTTGTGGGCATCTGTAGTCCCAGCTGCTCGGGAGGCTGAGGCAGGGAGAATTGCTTGAACCCATGAGGCAGAAGTTTCAGTGCGCTGAGACGGCGCCACTGCACGCCAGCCTGGGCAACAGAGCGAGACTCCATCTTAAAAAAAGATAAATAAAATAAAATGTCATTTTTGGTACAATAAAGAAAAATTAAACATGGACTCGGTATTTGGTTATAGTAAGAAATTAAAGTTCACTCTGTTGGTTGTGATAATGCCATTGAATTAAATGTAAAGCACCCTCTAACTACTAGAGGTACATCCTAAACTATTATGAGTAAAATTATATATTTCTATTTTGAATGAAAATCCTCCAGCAAAAAAAAAAAGTGTGGAGAAATACAGATAAAACAAGTTGACAAAATACTAATCACTGTTGAAGCTAGGTGGTAGGTTCATAGGAGGGACTTCAGCATACCATCCTTTCTCCTTTTTTTAATTTCTCCTTTTATGTGTGTTGGAAATTTTCATCTGCAGAGCACTTGCTGCTCCTGGAGATACCTACCCTACAGAGCCAAAGGCCAGTGCACCCCAAAGTGAGGCCAGCTTAACATGGCTGATCAGGAAAGGACAAGTCTGCACAAGGGTTTTCTCTGCAGAGCACAGAGGCTGCCATGCTAGGATGCAAGGGGTGATTGCCTCTCCAATATAACCCTAGCTGTCATGTCACCTGAACTATGAGTGACATGGTCTGAAGGACGACGGGCCTTCCTCTTGGAGCATGAGAACACCCTTCCTACACTGTGAGAGCTCTTGGGCAGCTACTCCCACTACTCAGCCATCATCACTCCAAACCTGAGCTGGCAAGGCCTTGGTCTTGAGCATCCAACACTGGTCATCCTACTCCAGGTCAGATGCAGGGGTTTGGAAAGTGGGCTCTCAGGGCCCTAGGAAGGGGAGAAGTTCTCACAGCATGGTTCCTGAAATAAGCACACTGTCTTAGTTATTACCCTCAGTTTGTGGAACAGAGAGAGTCAGGTTCCAAAAGAGTCTCACTAGGTTGGAAAGGATCTCTAAGTATAGCCAGAGAAAACATAGCAAAGACTCACGCAGGCCCCCACATATTCACACTTGGGCTGTGCAAGTCCAGGATGGAAGGCACCAGACTTCGTGTGAAGATGCCCAGCATGAGGCTGGGTAAGTGTGGGAGTAGCTGCCCAAAAGCTCTCATAAAGGTGTAGGAAGGGTGTTCTCATGCTGCGAGAAGGAAGATCCCACGTCCTTCAGACTATGTCACTCATAGTCCAGGTGACATGCTGAGCTCTGGGCCCTGTTCTCTGAGGCCTCCCTATCCTTTTAGGATACTGACAGCCTTGGGCAGGGCAGTCCAGGCTGGCAAGGGTCTCAGAGTCCCATCGCACCCACAGGAGCTGGAGAAGTGAAGTCCAGAGAAGAAAACCAGGATTGAGGAGGTAAGTGCAGGGCCCTCAGCCCTGGCACATAGCAGGCACAGTGAGCACTTGCTAAACTTGTGAGCAAAAATAAGTCAGCAGTGCTGGAGGGCAGAGCCAGGACCAGTAGATAGGAGGTGTAAGAAAACCCGTTTCAGGATAACAGCAGAGAACATGGCAGCCCAGAGGGAATGGACCTCAATGGTGTCATCAAGAGCAACTGGAATGAGATTGTTAATAACTCTGATGATATGAATTTCAAGGAGTCTCTTTTTCGGGGCATCTATGCTTACGGTTTTGAGAAGCCTTCCGCTATTCAGCAGAGAGCGATTATTCCCTGTATTAAAGGGTATGATGTGATTGCTCAAGCTCAGTCAGGTACTGGCAAGACAGCCACATTTGCTATTTCCATCCTGCAACAGTTGGAGATTGAGTTCAAGGAGACCCAAGCACTAGTATTGACCCCCACCAGAGAACTGGCTCAACAGATCCAAAAGGTAATTCTGGCACTTGGAGACTATACGGGAGCAACTTGCCATGCCTGCATTGGTGGAACAAATGTTCGAAATGAAATGCAAAAACTGCAGGCTGAAGCACCACATATTGTTGTTGGTATACCTGGGAGTGTTCGATATGTTAAACAGAAGATCTCTTTCTCCAAAATGGATCATAATATTTGTTTTGGATGCAGCAGATGAAATGTTGAGTTGTGGGTTTAAGGATCAAATCTAGGAGATTTTCCAAAAACTAAATACAAGTATTCAGGTTGTGTTGCTTTCTGCCACAATGCCAAATGGCGTGTTGGAAGTGACCAAAAAATTCATGAGAGATCCAATTCAAATTCCGGTGAAAAAGGAAGAACTGACCCTTGAAGGAATCAAACAGTTTTATATTAATGTTGAGAGAGAGGAATGGAAGTTGGATACACTTTGTGACTTGTATGAGACACTGACCATAACCAGACTGCTATTTTTCTCAATACAAGGCGCAAGGTGGACTGGCTGACTGAGAAAATGCATGCCAGAGACTTCACAGTTTCTGCTCTGCATAGTGACATGGACCAGAAGGAGAGACATGTTATCATGAGGGAATTCCGATCAGGGTCAAGCCGTGTTCTGATAACTACTGACTTGTTGGCCCACGGGATAGGTGTGCAACAAGTGTCTTTGGTTATAAATTATGATCTACCTACCAATCGTGAAAACTATATTGACAGAACTGGCAGAGGGGGTCGATTTTGGAGGAAAGGTGTGGCTATAAACTTTATTACCGAAGAAGACAAGAGGATTCACTGAGACTTTCTACAATACTACAGTGGACAAGATGCCCGTGAATGTGGCTGATCTGATTTAATTCCTGGGATGAGAGTTTTGGATGCAGTGCTCGCTGTTGTTGAATAGGCAATCACAACGTGCATTGTGCTTCTTTCTTTGGGAATATTTGAATCTTGTCTCAATGCTCATAATGGATCAGAAATACAGATTTTGATAGCAAAGCGACATTAGTTATGAGCTCTTGTGAGGAAAGTCATTGGCTTTATCCTCTTTAGAGTTAGACTGTTGGGGTGGGTATAAAAGATGGGGTCTGTAAAATCTTTCTTTCTTAGAAATTTATTTCTTAGTTCTGTAGAAATAGTTGTATTAGATGTTCTCTATCATTTAATAATATACTATGGACTAAAAGATATAAGTGCTATATAAAATCAGCCAATTATGTTAAACTAGCATATCTGCCTTTATTGTGTTTGTCATTAGCCTGAGTAGAAAGGCCTTTAAAATTTTTTTAGAAAGCATTTGACTGCATTTTGTTTGGCATTGTATTTATTTTTATTTTATTTTATTATTATTTTTTAAAACTGTTAAGAAAATTTATGTGGTTTTATTGTTTCATGAGGCATTGAAACATCTGAACAAATCAACTTCTGGGCGGTGAGGCAGCTGCTTTCTCCTTCACGTCTTTGGGTTACTAGAGCAACTTCTCAGTAGATTTTAAAAAAAGGACAACCTTTTGCATTACTTAAGTCTTTCCAAAGCATGCGCTGGTACAACACAAACTTCTCCTGTCAGATGCAACTAGTCTAGCGTCCAAACATCATGCACAACACCTTGGTGGCAGCAGCGCACTGCGCCCACTCCCGCCGCAGCCCTGCTCATTTGTGCATGATATTTGGAGCATCTGGAGGAGTGGTAATGGTATTGGGAAGAGGAGGGAGGAGGAAACAGCGTGAGTGCCTGAAGGTCAGCCGAAGTTGTGCAGGGCGAGCCTGAACATGTCATTGGTGCAAACCCAAGCATCGCTGATGTTCTTTAATAGGAACATCTGGTGGAACCCCATGATGGGGTCTTCATCTGCCTTAAGCTGGCCCACAATCATGCTGATGATACAGCTATCTGGTGTGGGCTGATGGTCCTGTGCCGTGTTGCTGTGCTGGATTTTCTGGAATGGAAGGCTAGACAACTTCTCCACAATGGCAGCTTTCCCCTGGAACTGTTGTCCTTCCCACGTAAGGCATGACGCGTCAATGTAAATTGCGTCTAGTTGGGTTCTATCATTATCAAATAACTGGTAATAATGTTGAATGAAGCTGAATCCAATCTGCTCCCAAATTGGCTTGTCTCCCATTCTGGAGCGTCACCCGGCCTCACAGAGACCCAAGGGGCTGGCACAATGGTGGCAGTGGTGGCGGCGGCAGCCAGCATTGTATTTATTCAATAAAGTATTTAATTAGTGCTAAGTGTGAACTGCACCCTGTTGTTAAGCCCCAGCAAGCAATCATCCTAGGTAGGGTTTAATCCCCAGTAAAATTGCCATATTGCACATGTCTTAACGAAGTTTGAATGTTAAATAAACTGTATATTCACTAAAAAAAAAAAAGAAAGAAAACCCGTTTCGGACAAATAGGAAAAAAGAACTCCAGCAGTTGAGTCATCTGCCTGAGAAGAACCAAAGGCTGCTGATCTCAGGTATTCACACCAAGGCAGAGCTCCAGCCCATACCGAATATGACAGCAGACATTCTGGCATTTGTTGGGGGTTGGATGCAATGCTCAAAATAAAAGGATATCAGAGCAAACATATAACCTGCTGAAGCCAAACCACACTCTTGAAGGAAGCAGCCTCACATACCAGACTTCGACATTGGAAGAGATCTGGCCTGAACCCACAGAACCCACAGAGCGGCAAAAGCTGCAGAGAGCACCACATCTGTCTCTTCATTCTACAAATGAAGGATTCTGCCTAACTGGAGTCTGCAGATCTAAAGACCCTTTCAGGCTAGCCCTTCCCATGCCCCACCCTTTCCCATCACAAAGCATTTGCCAACCCCAGCTCCCATGGAAATCATGGAGCTCATGGCAGTTGCCAGTGTGCCTTCAGGAAGTGGGTGGAACAACATTCAGGAGATAAGCAGCCGAGCATAGCTGGGAATAGGGAGCCTGCAGCAGGCTCTCCAAGTCTGGGTAGGAGACTTGCTGGCTGGCCAACTAACCCAGCACAAGGAGGCCATCCGCTTTTCAAGAACCCCTGCCTACCAGAAGCAACCCAGAGACGGGTTGCCAGCCAGTCCTTCTCTCCTGGCTCCAGGCTTGAGTGTACAGTCATCTCCTCCATTCTGAAAAATCTCTGCCACACAATAGAAGAGTAAGGGCTCTTCATTTAGAGCTGCTACAAAGTAAACCAAAAAGTGCACAATGTACTTTTGATTTATGACCTTGTTTTCCATGCTCAATGGGGCTGTAGAACAATGGGAAGCATCACCCTTCCTTTTTACACATCTCACAGAAATTATCTGTCGGAGCTGGAAGGAACTGTGGAGATCATCTAGTTAAATCTCTCATTTCACAGATTAAAAAACCAGGGACATACCCAATGTACATAGCCAAGTTTGGGCAATGTCAGGATTGATTAAAACCTGAATTTCTGACACCCAGCCAGGATGCTTCCACTATTGCTCTTCCTCCACATCATTGTACTTTGCCCTTTGCTCAAATGTCCTACTTTCTGACCCTTTCCCACTCCTCAAAGCCTTTCCCATCATCTTGCTAAATCTCCCATCTTCACAGAGGAGGAGGCGGGGAAGTGACAGTTCACAGCATTCGGCATTTTGGTTTGCAAAGTCTGCTAGCTGGCTGTTCTTCTACATCACTCCTCTTAGGCCTTTGGAGCTTCCCAACAGAATAAGTGAATGTTATGAATGTGTTTTGTAAGCTGTAAAATACCATACAAATATATGCTCTACTATTTTAGAACATGAAATAATGCAACCCCTTCTAATCATACTCTCATTTCCCTTAACTCTTTAAGACAAAGAGAAGGCAGGAGCAAACTCTAATTTAAGGAAGACAAAATTGAGGCTAAAGATCTGGACAAGAGTTATTTCTCCCCACACCATGGGCCCCTTTAGGGCAGAGCCTATTTTGTGCTCCTTCTTTTATTCCTTAGATTTCACCCAGGGATAGGTATCCAACAGATATTCAGCAGAGTTTCCTGAATACATGGATAAAATTTCACTTAAAATTTTTGCTACTTCTCTGTAGAATCTAACTGTAAAAATCCCCACAAGCACTCCCATAACCAAATAAGTGTAGGTGACAGGGTAGGAGGTAGAAGGGAAGGTTGATGAAATGTTTCAGTTAAATAAGAGGAATAAATTCAAGAGATCTAGTCTGGGCATGATGGCTGGCTTATGCCTGCAGTCTCAGCACTTTGGGAGGCTGAGGCAGACAGATCACTTGAGGCCAGGAGTTCAACACAAGCCTGGCTAACACGGTGAAACCTGGTCTCGACTAAAATGCCAGCAAAAAATTAGTTGGGCATAGTGGCACATGCCTGTAATTTTAGTTACTCGGGAGGCTGAGACATGAGAATCACTTGATCCCAAGAGGCAGAGGTTGTAGTGAGTCGAAATCGTGCCACTGCACTCCAGCAGCCTGGGCAACAGAGTGAGACTTTGTCCCCCACTCCAAAAAAAAAATCTACTTTTTGTAGTACCACATGGTGACTATAGTTAACACCAATGTATTGCATTCTTTTAAATCACTGCTAATAGATTTAAGCATTCTCACCACAAAAAAATGGTAAGTATGTTAAGTGATGACCATGTTACTTCACTTGATTTAGCCATTCCATAATGTCATCATATGTAAATATTTCAAAACATCAGGCTGTATATAATAAATATGCAATGCATAATTGTCAATCTAAATAAGTATTTAATTTTAAAAAATATTTAAGTGCGAGTGACCCTTGTTACCTGCCTGCAAACACAAATGTAATAGTGTCACTACTGGGAAATTTCCTCACCTACCCTTTCTTCCAAGTACCCAAATGCCTTAATGGTTCTTCCAGCATCTTTGGGAGATTTGGCTCCCACGCAAACCAGTGGCACTGAAGAGCTAGAGCTCCTCTGAATACAGGGGGCAGTCCCAGATAGGACTGGGTGGGGTGATCCTTGCTGCTGAGGTTCTTCGATCTCCTCAGTGTTTGGGACCAAGACCCAAAAGCCATCCCCATCCCTTCTATTTCCCCTCAGGGAAAATCTCTTCTTCACCTTTGGCCCTGAGAGCAGCCCCACCCACTTCAGGGGAAGCCTGGCCTCTCTAGGCCATTCAAGATTTGGTCTGATCCTAGGGTGATCTAGAGTTCCCTGGAGGCTTCAAATCTGCTTCCATGTGACCCTCTTGTTAGAAAGAAGTAGGGGCACCAGGTAACAGGTCTCTGCTAGAGCAAAGCTCTCTTCAGAACCCTATGTGCCCATAAAGACAAATAATAGGAAAGAGAGATGAGAGCAGCCCTGTGGCCAGCCTGAGAGCCCAAGGCACAGCACAGATGAGTCAGGGAGTATCCTATTCCACAGCAGAGCTGACCAGAACCTAAAGTATAAGACAAAGGAGCAAAGAGAATGCCAGGGGACAATAGACATGCACTAGAGGCCCAATCTGTAGGGAAGAAACCACAGAGAGTGAGACACCAAAATTCTATCACCCCTACCACAGGCAGGAGCCCACGGGCCAGTGTCCCAATTCACTCCAAAGCTTCAACCACTGTACTAGTGAACAGAGATGGCAGAGGTCCCTCCAGAAAAGGAGCCTGGGCAAGTTCTACAAATGCAGGATCAATACCAGCATGACATGCTCCTGGCACCAAATGAAAGGACTGGGCAGGAGTCCCCACAGCTAGATTGTCCACCAAGTCCCAGCTTACCCAGAGGGCCTCATGTCCCAAAGTGACAGTCAGCCCTTGCTGTGGGCATGCAGGGCTTAGCCACCATTTTACCATTTAATAAGTTAGCCCCAGGCAGGAAAAATACGTAAAGCCAGGGTAGGCAGGGCCTGCAGAAGCTGAATGACCAAGCAGGTAGAATAAGAAATAAAACACCCAGCAGAATGTCTGTGACAAGGCAGTCATTCAGTAATGGTAGTTCTAACTACTATCACAGTGTTGCCAACCTACCTTCACAGTTAGCCCCAACTTACTGCACATGGCCCACAGGCACAACAGGTTCCCCTCACATAGCCCACACAAAGTTGGTCTGGCCCTCCACACCCCCACAACTAGCAAGAGAAAAGGGCCCCATTCATAAATACAGGACCTATGAGAAGGGAAAAGATTTATTAAAGCCCCCAAATCCTAGCAGCAGCCTCCTATTCACATATGCAGGGAGGACTCCCCTAAACTGGGGTGAAAGTCATGACCTTTCTGGGGGGAAAAAAAAAAAGCTTTCAGAAAAAAGCTTTCCTCTGAAAGCTTTGGTTTCTTAAACTCAGAACCAAACTGACTCAGAGGAATGAGAGCTTTAGAAAAGGAACAGAAAAGTGGTCCACTGCACTGTTCTTTGGCTCCCAATTAGCCCAAAGCCTGGCTCTGCTTTCAGTGAATTCTCAGCCTCTCCACGTGTGAAGCCTTCAAGAAACCCTTTTTTAAAAAGCTAGAATTTCTAGGCCCAAAGAATAAAATTTGAATCTGATTAGCTTCTAGATAGAATTCCCAGTTTGCAAGAAAAATATGGGACAGAGGAACATCTTAAATGATACCACAGGGATGCAATCAGCATAAACCCGAATATGAGAAACCACAGGACAAATGACACAGTTCTCTAATAATACACTGCAAGGAGAAAAAAGGAAAGAAAATATATAAAGAAACTAGAGAGATGCATCAGACAGATTCAATGTGTAGACCCTGTTTAGATCACAATTCGAACCAATTGTAAAAGTAAATTCATAAGACAATCAGAAAAATGGAATCTTGACTGGATATTTGCTGAGTTTAAGAAGAGATGATTATCCTGTTTAGATGTGGCTGTGGGCCTGTGGTTATGTTCATGTAAAACCCTTATTTATTGGAAATACAAACTGAAATACTGATGATGAAATGTTGGGATGCCTGGAATTTGCTTCTGTAGCGGGTGGGATAGAAGAGATAAATTAAACTCAATTGGCCGTAAGTTGATGATGGCAGTGGCTAAGCAATGGGAACAAAAAAAGTTCATTAGACCATTTCCTCTACTTTCATGTATGTTTGAAATTTTCCATAATAAAAAGTTTTTAAGATAGCATTTCTCAGCCAGGTACAGTGGCTCACACCTGTAATCCCAGCACTTTGGGAGGCCAAGGCAGGCAGATCACCTAGGTCAGGAGTTCAAGACCAGTGTGGCCAACATGGTGAAATGCCATCTCTATTAAAAATACAAAAATGAGCCAAGAATGGTGGTGAGCACCTGTAATCCCAGCTACTTGGGAGACTGAGGCAGGAGAATCGCTTGAACCCGGGAGGCAGAGGTTGCAGTGAGCCAAGATGGCACCACTGCAGTCCAGCCTGGGCAACAGAGCGAGACTTCATCTCAAAATAAATAAATAAATAATGAACAAAAGATAGCATTTCTCCTCATAATCTCTCCATTACATTTTTACATTTTTTTAAATCAATAGCACCTTATTAGTCTTCATGATGCTGGGAACATCTATATTATCAAAAGTACCCTGCTTTGCCCTTTGGGCAAAATTTTGACATCATCACCATTCAGATGTAAGATCACTTCAATTTAGACCCCATGACATACCCTCAGTGAGATCCAGCCACTGGGGACAAAGAAGATCTCTAAGTGATAAAGGAGCATTATTTCCAGACCTGGCAGTTAGGTCCTTTCATTCTATCTTTACAAGCCTGGGATAGAGTTAGTCTCAGATTTTTCTAGAGGCTTACTTGGCTGATACAATGTAACAAGTTTAGCTAATCCCAGAGATACCATGCCTGACAAATCCATTTTGAAACA